ACCTGTCTGAGTCCTTTCACCTCCCTTCCTTCCGATGGCAGTTCCCTGACAGATTGGAAAAGGAATAACATCTTTGGTAGCACACTCAATTTTATCGTAGATATTCTCCCCCAAAAGGACAGTTTCAGTCTTCCCCACACCTCCAAATCCCTTTTTATTTGGTTCCACACAGGTAAATAGTTGTTTTGAAACAAATCAATGTTCTTGGGGGTTAACCATATTCCTAAATACTTCACTTTATTCACCACTTCTATCTCTGTCCTTTGTTGCATTTCCTCAATTAATTCTTGATTCATGTTTTTAGCAATAATTTTTGTCTTTTTTTTTATTGAGATAGAATCCTGTGACTCGACCAAATTGCTCTATTTCTTCTAAGATTCTTTTGACACTTTCCACTGGTTCTTCTACCGTCATTACCAGGTCGTCCGCGAATGCTTTAACTTTGTATTCATTTTTCCCTATAGACACCCCTTTTATATCTTCATTTTTTCTTAATGATTTTAACAAAACTTCCAGCACCATAATGAATAATAATGGCGACAATGGGCATCCCTGCCTTGTACCCTTGGTTATTTTAATGTCTTCTGTAGTATAGTTGTTTACTATCAACTTCGCTTTCTGTTCTGTATATATTGCTTTTATCCCATTATAAAATTCCTTACCCACTTCCATATACTCTAAATTTTTTAACATAAAATTCCATGATATATTATCAAAGGCCTTTTCAGCATCCACAAAGATTAAGATAGCTTGTTTTTCATTCCTGGCATTCAGATATTCCAATATATTTATTATGTTTCTTATGTTATCTTTCATCTGTCTGCCAGGAAGAAAACCCGCTTGATCCTTATGTATAAATTCTTGCAGTACTTTTTTCATTCTTTTTGCTAATATACTCGCAAAAATTTTATAATCAGTATTCAACAACGAAATAGGCCTATAATTTTTGACCTGCGTCAAATCCGAGTCTTGTTTTGGGATAAATGTAATAAAGGCTTCTTTCCATGTTTCTGGGATTTCACTATTCTTTAATATGTTATTTATAACTTCTTTCAATGGTACAAGTAGGATGCTTCTCATTTCCTTATAATATCTAGCTGTAAATCCATCTGGTCCTGGGGCTTTTCCTTTTTTCAATTCCTTTATTACCTCTTTTATTTCTTCAGTTTCAATTGGGGCGTTCAAAAAATCTTTTTTCTCCGTCGGGATCTTCTGCACTTCTTTTTCCTTTAAGAATCTGTCTATCTTTCTCATATTATTCTTTTCCTTGCTTTTGTACAATTGTCTATAAAAATCCAAGAATCCTTTTCTGATTTCTTTCGGATTTTCTATTTCTGTGCCGTCAATGATGATTTTATTTACTGTATTCTGTTCCTTTCTTTTCTTAATCTGCCACGCCAGCCATTTTCCTGATTTATTCGCGAATTCAAAATTTCTTTGTCTCATTCTTTTTATATTCCCTTCTACTTCCTTATTTATTATCATTGCAAATCGTGTTTGTAGGGTCTTTATACTCTGTCTTATCTTCTCATTATTTGGTTTCTTTATCAATTTTTGTTCGTTCTCCATTATCTGTTTTAGTATTTCCTTCTTATTCTTCTCTCTATTTTTATTTTTCAAAGCATTCTGCTGAATAAAAAACCTCTCATCCCTGCTTTGCTGGCGTCCCATACCATGTTCATTTTTGTTCCCTTATTGCAATTATTCAAAAAATACTCCGAAAAATACTTTTGAGCATTTTCTACTACTTTCTGATCGTCCAAAAGGTAGTCGTTCATTCTCCACCTAAACGTTCTTTCTTCAAAGCCCTTTAATTCAAATTTTATTGCACTATGATCCGAAATCACTCTTGATTGAATTTCAACTTCCGAGATTCTTGGAGTTAGTTCATTTGAGACCCAAATTTGGTCTATTCTTGACTGAGATTGGTTTGGTTTTGAGTAGAACGTAAATTGTTTCTCCAGTGGGTGTCTAAGTCTCCAAATATCAATCAAATTACAGTTCTTTATCATTGAAAAGAAAGTCTTAGGTAATTTTCCATCTTTACTCGCCCCAGTTGTTTTCAATCTGTCCATTTCCATTGACACCATTCCATTCAGGTCTCCCATTATTATGATTTTCTGATCCATATGTTCGAACAGTTTTTCTTCTAAATTTTTGTAAAAGTCTGTCTTATTTCCATTTGGTGCATAGATCCCGACAAATATTATTTTTTCTCCTCGCCACTTTATTTGAACTGCCATAACTCTGCCTTCTTCATCTTTAAAAATTTGTTGAGCTTCAATATTTTTTCTGATATACAAAACTACCCCTCTCTTTTTACTCTTATCTGAAGATATAAATTCATTTCCCAGTCTTTTATTGATTAGAATTTTTTTATGCCTTCTCGCCACATGAGTTTCTTGTAGACAGATAATATCCAAATTTTTCTTTTTTTAAATGTTGTTCAATTTTATTCCGTTTTTTTATCATTGATCCCATTGATGTTCTAGCCGCTTGCTGCGTTACCAACCTCCTCTCTGCGCTCCGCTCGTGGTCTTGCGTCGTTCTCCGATTTCAGATAAAAACTGACCTCTTTTTCCACCTTCTTTTCCCAAAGCCTTCCTTTTGTATACTCCAATTATATTCCAAAGTCCAAATTTGGCTTAGATTCTTTATTTTTGAGAATCGATCACTCACCCTGCAAGCCTGGGGCTGCATTCTCGAGGGTGAGACAATGGCTTCCCCGGTGCCTGCTTTCTCCGCCCGCCGTTCTCTTCGCTCCTGTTACGGAGTTACCCGACAGCCGTGCGATCTGCAGATGGCTCCGCTGGGCTCCTGACCTTCTGGTTTCCCTCCAGAGGGGTTTTGGGGGCTACCGCACCCTGTAGCACCCCCATTTACCCTCGAGAACCCAGACTTTCTCTCTCCCGAGAAAGTCCCACTTGCGTCGGGTCCGTGGCTCGACCGGAAGTCGTTCTAATGCACATTTAAGGGCATATTTTCAAAGCAAAATCACTCAAAACCAGTTATCTATTTTAACACACTTTATTTATTCTTGAGAGTATCAAACCAGGAATGAGAGTTGCTCCATGTTAATTAAAACAGAAATAAAAAAGTGAGTGTGTGTGATAAGTACATAAGAAAAGCCCAGCTAGATCAGGATCAGGCCAAAGGGTAACTTAATTCAGCACCTTGTTGTTGCAGTGGCCAACCAACCTATGGGATCTGGTCTTTATTAGGATGGATTGCTATTCTGGATTAATTCTGGATTAAATCATAAGTGGGGGGTTGGGGAGGTATGTGTGTTTTATTTTTAAAGAAAGCTGATATTAGTATAAACTTCCATTGGCACCAGTAGGAGCTTGTCTCCCAGGGTTAATTGCAGCTGGGATAGCAGGGTGGCACAAGTAATTTTCATCTGTTTTGGCCCATAGATACAGGTTTTTGGAGACCAGAAACATGGATATAGGGAGGATCTGAGGCTTGTATGATGATGATGAGTTGTTAAGTACAGGCTGCATAAGGCAGCTATTCTGTATGATAACAACCCGTCAACCCAAACCAAATCATACCCTAATTCTCTTTCACTGTTCCTTCCTGTAGCTCTTTTCTGATGGCCGAGCTACATGGGAAGCCATTCATGCCATTAGCAGTTGTGTGGATGGCTTTTTCTTTTTCTTGTAAATGGAGGTTTTACTACAATCAGATGGCATATAAATTTTGTTAAATATATAAAATACAACGATAAAATTAATGACTGTAAATTGTTTTGAGGCATGTGAAATAATAATTAGTAGTAATAGTAATAGTAATAGTAATAATAATAATAATAATAATAATAGGGAGGGAGGCAGATGGTTGATGTGGATTAGGATTTTTGTGGGGGGTTAGGGGACTTTAGTCTTTCCCTCATCTATAGTCCTGATCAGAGCTCTCCACTTGATATTTTCATTTACAGAAAAGCTTCCATGGGAATAAACGGGAGCTTTCTGTCCAATGCAAAGGGCAGACATGAGGGAACTAATCCAGATCAGGACTCCCATGTCTCCCAAGGTCCCAAACTAGATCAGCCTCTGCATTGCTTTTTACATTTTTGAAAGCCGTCCATAGAGTTTCATGTGACTGGCACCTTGTCATGTTTGGTCCTAAGACTGAGCTAGTTTGGGCCATGCCCGATGTCTCCAGTGTCTCACTTTTGATGTGATCATTGCTGCATCAGGGTGCTTGCTAGTTCAGGAGGGTGACTTCCACCCCCCTCCACTTGCCCCACCTCTTTCCCCTTCCTCCCACTGCTCTTCCTTTCCCTGCCCTCATCCAGCTACCTCCCGCCCCAGTGCTGCACTTATCTACGAAGCTTGTGCCACTTGCTTTCTGCTTCCCTTCTTGACATAAACACAACCTTCCCCAACCTGGTGTGCCCTCCCCTTCAGCCCCCATCAGCCTCCAACTAGCATGGCCAATGGTCGGGGATGATCGGAGTTGTAGTCCAACAGCATCTGCAAGGCACCAGGTTGGGGAAAGCTCACATAAAGGATGAGAATGTAAGCAGCAGTCGTTTCATTGATCCTGCTGGCTCACTGTTGTCTACAGTAAAGGTAAAGGTAAAGGGACCCCTGACCATTAGGTCCAGTCGTGACCAACTCTGAGGTTGCGGCACTCATCTCGCTTTATTGGCCGAGGGAGCCGGCGTACAGCTTCCGGGTCATGTGGCCAGCATGACGAAGCCGCTTCTGGCAAACCAGAACAGCGCACAGAAATGCCATTTACCTTCCCGCCGGAGTGGTACCTATTTATCTACTTGCACTGGTGTGCTTTCGAACTGCTAGGTTGGCAGGAGCAGGGACCGAGCAACGGGAGCTCACCCCATCGCGGGGATTCGAACCGCCGACCTTCCGATCGGCAAGTCCTAGGCTCTGTGGTTTAACTCACAGCGCCACCTGTGTCCCTGAGTTGTCTACAATACTGACCAGTAAAGCAGCTCTCCGTGGTTTCAGAGTGGAGTCTCTCCAAGCTCTACCTGGAGATACCTGGGATTGAACCTGGGAACTTCTGCATGCAAAGCATGCACCCTGCCCCTCTGAGCCACACAGCCCTTCCGGAATCTAGAGAGTGAACTGTGCCAGCAACCTCCATGGAGCTGCGTTGTGCTCCAGCTTGGAAACTTCTGCTGGGGAGGCAATTCCAGGCCTGGCTTTAAACAGACACGGGAGTCTCCTGAATGAAGCAGTAGGGATGGGGTGCAATTACAGGGTGTCACATGTTTGTTGACCGAGGATAAGTGCTACCTACCTCACAGGGTTGTTGTGAGGATGAAATGCAGGTGGGAGGAGGAGAGCCAGGTACACCAACTTGAGCTCCTTGGAAGAAAAAGGGTGGTATATAAACATATAAATAAATAAAATACCGGCAAGTGGAAAATAGCAGAATTGCATTTCTCTGTTGCTCTGCATTTGCCTAAGCTCTATAGAGAGGTAGCCAGAAGTTTGCTATCTGGAGATTTGGAAGAAAAGTTTGAATTAGGCATGATAGCAGCAGGACCATTCATTTAAACCTGGGTTTGTTCTGATCATGCTTGAAGCATTTTTTAAGCGCAAAAGCAATGGAGGGAGGGGGCTCATGGTTTCCCTCCCACAAAGCCTCTCTCCTGATGTCTCTTCCCACTCACCCAGCTTCAGCACCAGCGAGGGGCTATGGTGAAATGAGCAGTGAGTACACAGAGCAGGCATGGCTCCCTTCCCCCTTGTTCCCCTCTCACCTTAAAAACAAAGCCCTTGTTTTTATATAAGGTAGGAGCTGTCCTGGAACGATGCCTATGCCTCTGCTGCCCTTGCGTGTCGTTGCTGCCAGACCCTTCTGAAGAGCTCCCCTTTTCCTTCCAGTCTTTCACACGTGCTCTCTGTCGCTTTTGCAGATACCCTATCTGCAGCCACAAAAAGCAAAACCAGCGAGGATATTGCCCAGAGCTCCAAATATAGCCCGGCCTACTCTCCAGATCCATATTACCACTCCGAAACAGAATACTGGACCTTTCAAGGCTCACCTAAAGGTAATGTTCTCCACACCAGGTCACCAAAAGCTCCAGGAATGTGTGTGTGTGAGAGAGAGAGAGAGAGAGAGATCCTACATGCAGTGGCCATGCTGAAACGGAGAGGAAAGTGCCAAAATATCCAACTGCAGAGGAGGACTGGGCTCTTGTACCTTTTAAGCATGGTCTGCAACCGGGATGGGGAACGGTAGCACTGCAGATATTGCTGACCTGCAACTCCCATCATCTCAAGACCATACTGCCTTGGGCTGAGTCCAGCAACATCTAGAGGTTCCCCATCCTCAGTCTAGAATATCAAGGTGGACAGAAAGCTGCACCAGCTGAAATTCCCTCTTCTGCACAGCTCTGAAAGTTGCAGGAGCCCTGTCTGCCTTTGTGGCTGGTCACCTTCCATGAACCGGAAGCTCTGGCTCTTCCCAGCTATAATGCCTGAAAAGAATATGCTGCTGTCTGTCCCAAGCTCCATGCCAGAAGGAGCACAGGCCCCTTTGGGTTACAGAAATGCCCGTCCAACATTGGCCCCGACCCTAGCAAAGTCCCCAGATTCATGGCTGCTGTCTTAACCTGATGCCTGTTATTTCTTTGAACTGACTGCCCTGCCACCACTTCCTTGTAGCACCACGAGTTCGGAGGTTCTCATCAGGAGGAGAAGAAGATGGGTTTGATCGAGGGATGCATAAGGTGAGTGCTCATCTTCACTGATCCACCTTTGCCCATTCTATGCTGAACTTAGGAACGCTGCTGCGGCCCAACTTCCAAAGGCTCTCTTCCTCCTTGGATTGGTAGCAGCGCCTTCAAGGTTCCTCGCTGTGCCAGCCTCTGCTGCTGTGCTCACGACCTCATAAGAGGAGGTAGGCTGCTGAGGACTTTGACTGATGCTGCTCCGTTCTGTGCAGTGGGGTAGTCCAGTGCTGATAGCTTCACTGGGGAAACAGTTGAAATCTCTGAGTTCATGTCCACAGTGATAATGCCTCTGCACCTTTTCATTATGTTTTATTGGATTTTTACTCTTTAGGTCATTTTATTATGCTAATCTCTCTTTTTCTGTATAATTTTTCATTAAGTTTTTCTGTTTTACATTTTAAAATATTCATTTAAACAACCTTAAATCAATGACTTCTCTTCTCTTTCCGTGGTTCAGTTTACATACCACAAATCCCTGCATATTTTACATAAGCTAAACCATTCAGTATTCCATTATTACAACCATCAAAACTTGTCTACGCTGTATCTTAATTCTTCCAACGTCTTCAAATGTACACAATTTTCACCCATATATTCAACAAACATTTTCCAATCTTCTTTAAATGCACGTTCTTCTTAAGTGGCTAATCTCTGTGCCACTTAATCATACAAGGGAAAATAATATGTGTGTGTTTGAAATTGTTTATATCTCCCCTTTCAGGATATAAATCCTATCAAGGTGGCTTACAAGTAATATTCTGTTACATATTTTTAAAACACAATAAGCAATATTAAAGTGTTGACACACACCAGGATCCTTCCCACAGGTCTGTTCATGGTAGATCATGGGGTGGTGGGGTTGCCCAGCAGGATCCAGCCCTGATGTGGTCTTTGCCTCCTTCCCTCCCTCTCCTATAATACTCATCTTCTGAATATTTTGCGGTGATAGCTCCAGACTGGCATTGGCAGATTGATACTGAAGGAAGAAATGAAGGCCCGATCCAATTCCTACGCTGACCCCTGGACTCCTCCCCGCAGCTCGGCAGGCAGTAGAGAAGCTCTTCACACGGCCGGCTATGAAAGCTCCTTAAATGGCTGTAAGCAATCGGGAAAATTTCACCTACCCCCTGCCTGCCTGCCAGCAGATGGTTGGCTTCAAGGAAGTGAGAGGTGCAGAAGGCTTGTCTTTTCACAGGCCGTGCATTGCTATTGTGCAAGAGAGATTCTTGCTGGGGGTGGGCAGGTATCACAGACATGGCAGAATGATCCCAGTGCAGGGGAAATTCAGATCAGATGCTGAGTCTGTGGATTTAGAACCAGCCGACTGAGCTCTTCTAGTGAATTAAATTGGCTGGTTTTGCTATGAATATACTGGTTCCAGCCTGATATTGTTTTCTTGATGCAACATTCATAGTTGGGGACTGTGAGACTGAGGGAGGTTAGAACGGCAGTGAAAATGGAGACATTAATAATGGCCGGTCAGGTTCACATACTGAGAATGAACCTGGGTGTTTCAAAGCTACCTCATCACACACACAGCACTAGCCTTTAGCTCACAGTCCTGTTTCTAGGTCTCACACTGCATTCTCAAAACGACCATTCCTGCCTGATCCAACTATTCCCCTGGCTTTTGACAGAGAAGCATTTGAGAGAGTCAATCGGCCTAAGACAGAAGTGTGCATAAGATTGATCGGGATCTGCTAGTAGATCACTGGGTGGTTTGCAGTAGGATTTCTGATTCCCAGTTATTTTAGCAATAGCAAGCAGCTAAGCAGTTTAGAATTCCTGGTCTGTAATAACTCAGACATAAATGTTTGCTTAAATATGCAAACTGTGTATGGGTTCCTGGGGTGCAGAAGGCAATTGGCTCCACCCCCTTGACTCACCATTTTTACCCCATTTTTGCACCATTTTACACTGGCTCCGCCCACCCTGCACCTGCCCTGGCTAGTGATCTTTGTGGTTCTAATAGCGAACAGAACACATCTTAAGCCTCTCCATGTCTGGGCGAAGGGAGATCAAAATCTCTCTTCATTCATCTCGTCAGTGAGTTGGTGTTTGGAGAGATTACTTGTCATTTCCCCCATTTGTTTGTTGTGTGTCAAGCATATTGTACCAAACTGGGGGGATTAAAATTTCAGGAATCAAGAATAATGTTCAGTGTGCTGCCCCCTAGTGCTTGAGTTCACAGAGAAATCTTCGACAATAAAATCATGCTCATGGAAATCGTGCATTCCACGATGCCAGAGTTTATTTGGCAATCTATATATAAGCCTTTATCTATGTCTGCATTCCCAGGGTTGACTTGCACACCTTCTCGGACACGTACGCTCTCACGCTATCGCTTTCCCTGGGGCACCCTACCAGCCGGAGCCTGAAGGAATATTTCATTAATCTTTGATGAACTTCCACATTATCCCACCTCCCTTTCTCCTTCCCCGCCCCCCCTCCTGCCGAAGGAGTGTGGGTGAGGGGCAAAAATGTGCTCCTGCAATTGCATCAGCTGGCCACTAGATGGGGCCATCAACAGCTCACAGCAGCTAGTCATTCTGGGTTGTTGCTTTTAGTTACTAAAAAGTCCAAACCAGATATGGCACATAGTCATGTTTACCTTTCCAGCTTCTCTTTTTAAAAAAACAGCCTCAGAAGGAATTAAGTTTGAGCAGAGAAATTTGGGTTGGGGAGGAGGAGAGGCTAGTTAAATTTAGCATTATTATTTTTTGCTCAAAATTGGCCCCTCCTCAGCTGTTTTTCTGTTGGGAGGGAGGGCATTTTGTGTAGCAAAATGGCTGTAGGGGAAAGCATTAAACAGCACCCCTGCCTCTCCTTCCCCCCTTGCATCACTTACTTCTCCAGTCAAGTGTCCTAGTATATGACTAAATGGAGAAAAAGTCAACATTGTCATGAAGGGCTTGGAGCCAAGCTACATGTTACACTTAATGCATAGTGTGCAGCTACATCTCTGGATTTCCTCTATTTGGTTGCAGATACAGGGGGTCCAATTGTTGTCTAGATAACAGTGTGTTGGGATGGAGGAAGGTACAGTGGTACCTCAGGTTAAGAACTTAATTTGTTCCGGAGGTCCGTTCTTAACCTGAAACTGTTCTTAGCCTGAGATACCACTTTAGCTAATGGGGCCTCCTGCTGCCTCCGCGCTGCCAGAGCACAATTTCTGTTCTCATCCTGAAGCAAAGTTCTTAACCTGAGGTACTATTTCTGGGTTAGCAGAGTCTGTAACCTGAAGCGTCTGTAACCTGAGGTACCACTGTATATCTTCTGCTACAATTGGGGTGAAAATCCCACCTCCCTGCAGTTGGGAGGCTTAGATAAAATTTTTCCATTGGGTTTAATGGGAACTTTTCCCTAA